ATAATAGACGTGCAGTGTAATACTTTTTAATTAAAATATAATATTTTTTATATATATATTTATAGGAATAGCTAAAAAGTATTATGCATATCATGTGAGGTAGTCTCACACTATACCTTTTTTAAAACATATTTCATTTTAGCTATAAAGTATTAAACGTCTTGTGTGAAACGATTTCACGCAAGGCTTATTCTTATTATATTTTTAAATATAATTAAAAGTATTATTCATGGCATATAAGATGGTTGTTGGAAAAGTTAACAAAAATCTCTATCTCTATCTCTATATATATTAAAGCAAAATGATTAGGGAAAAATCCCCCCCCCCCCCCCCCCCCTCCCCCCCTAAAGTGTGAAAAACATTTATTGTATTCACATTAGTTTATAAATTCATGTAATTTTAATTACAAATCAAATAAACATCAACATTATTATTAAATCAGTCAACATAACATGTCTATATCATTAATTTATAAAATATTGCATATATTATATATTATATCTCTATCTCTTCTTTCTCTTCTCTATCTCTATCTCTATCTCTATATTAAAGCAAAATTTTCCCTAATCATAATCATCATCTCTATCTCTATCTCTATCTCTATCTCTATCTATATCTCTATATCTCTATATATATTAATAAAGTAAAATGATTAGGGAAATTTTTTTCCCTCCAAAGTGTGAAAGCATTTATTGTATTCACATTAATTTATAAATTCATGTAATTTTAATTACAAATCAAATCGGCATCAACATTATTATTAAATTAGTCAACATAACATGTCTATATCATTACCAAGACTATATGGTATAATGGTACTCGGGTTGGATTTCCATTTGGAAGGTTGTGAGTTTGAGCCTCAGTAGAGACGTTAATGGTACATACTACAATGTAATAGTCATTAATTTATAAAATATTGCATATAAGCAAAATTTTCCCTAATCATAATCATCATAAATAATTAAATAAAATCAAAGTGAATAATAAGCAAAAAGATTTTAGTGCATAGGAGAGTAATTCACAAAATTAATTTGAGTAATAATTGTTGATCCATAATTGAGAATTAACATTGCAATAATTATGTTATGTTTCTAACATTAATTGATTGGAGATAAATTTAAATTCAGAATCAATATTTACATGAACATCTACACCTACTTCAACACTATAAATAAACCATCATCCACATGACCACAACTAATACTACAATTATGTTTTGGTCGTGACTGGAATTGGGAGGATGATTGTGGCTAGAATAGGGAGAAGAATATTTCTGAGAGTTTAGATCTTTATACCGTGCGATCTGGGGAAGATGAATCAAGAAATGTGGCAGTACACATGAAGAAAAAGCTGAGGATAAAAATCATACCTTGCTTCTGAACCTGGGGCTTCAATTCTTGGAGTTGTTCTTTCTTGGAAGCAGAGGTAACTGTTAGCCGTAGCTCATGAACGCGAACACTACTGGAAATTATGAAATTTCTGACCACCTGAAAATGATCTTAAATTAAGTTGATACCAAAAAGTCTAAAAAGTGGTCGAAAATAACAACAAAGGTTTTTCCGGATACTAAAAGTGGTCGGAACAAGGCTTTCGACATGATTTAAGATCTCTTTCAGGTGGTCGGAAATTCCATAATTTCCAGTAGTGGAAGAAGAAGAAACAGCTTACGTAAAATGACTATTTTGCCCTCATGAATAAAAAATTTAAAAAGATTTAAGTTTTTCCGACCAATTTTCACCGGTGATTTGGCCGGAAGGACCAAATCTGCTAAAAAAAGCATAGTTAAACGACTAAATCGTTAGGTTTAAAAGTCATGGAGCAAAATTAACACGCCCCCTATAGTCATAAGACCAAAAATATAATTTGCTCATTTGTTAAATTAATAATAGTCCATGCACCGCACGAGACACTTACTAATGAGAATTAAAGTTGTTATTTTGAGATCTAATTTTGAGTGGGGGCCCACTTTTAAGTTGGATTGGGTTAAACTGAATTCACGCTCTCCTAAAGGGTTATATATAATAATAATAATAATAATAATAATAATAATAATAATAATAATAATAATAATAATTAAATAAGAAATTGATGACTTTCTAAATTTTTGAGAAAACTTTTAAATATCTTTTATTTTATATTGAAAAGAGACATGAGTTTGTACTAGAATAAATAGTTAAACATAATATAACTATTTAAGAGATTTGAACTACCTAACATAGACGCTATATCTTGCATGCGTGGAGTTACAAATAGAATCCCAAAATAAGGGTTTGCTCAAACTCTCAAATTGTGAGTCCATTTTCATATTTTATTGTAAACTGGAATTACTCTGATATTATTCAAAACAAAATGGTACCACATCATCATCTAAAAAGCTACCAATATGCAGTCACCAATAATGGCACTTTTATGACCACAATCCCACCTACAAGTGAGCTGACTCAATATGTGGACATGCTCTCATGCTTATCATCTCTTCGCTTGTGTCTAACATTTTTTGTTTGCTCTAATACAAAATTATTCGGAGTAATTTTTTATTTTTTTTTTAAAAGATTGATTGTCAATTCTTTTCCATAAAATTTTAATTTTATTTTTCTTAAAATATTTTCCATGAACCATATAAGACCTTACTTCAGTTACTCCGTATAATAATAATCTCAAATTTTTTTAAACATAAAGTGATATCAGCTTTCAGTCATGACATTTTAAGTACCAACTATATTTTACTCTTGCTAGTACCATTATTGGTATTTGGTGAAGCGCTGACTTGAAGTCAACCAGGCATGGGTCTACTACCATGTGGATAATTGAAAAATGAAAAACAAGAACACTGACTGGCAGACTGCAATGGCTTCTTTCGTTTGTTGATTTCTGACATGTTTCCATCAAAATAAAATTTACATAGCTTTTAAAGGATAATTTTGGCCTTTGTCTTAACCAACCAACCGACTCTTTGAGTAATGGGAATTCTGGGTTTCTCCTTCTTTGTTCTTGGGCTGCTCAACACAGTTATTGCACAGTCAAATATCACAGACCCTAATGAAGGTTCTTCTCTCTCTCATCATTACATGACTCAATATAATCTGGTTAAATGCACTTGTTTTTCGTAGACAATAAGGATACTTATTTAAGGTTTTTGGGTGTTTTTTGTTTTTTGTTTGGTTTGTCAGTGGTTGCTATTAACAAGATAATTGATCACTGGAATTTGAGAAGCAAGGTGAACCTCAGCAGTTTTGAGCCTTGCGACAAAAATGCTTCTTGGGCACCATTAGAGGCTAATCCCAGGATTGCTTGTGATTGTTCCGGCACTTTCTGCCACATTAATCGCTTGTCAGTTCATTCCTTGTTCTTATTTTTTTCCTTTTCTTGATGATTTTGTGCTAATTAAGAATGTTTTTCGCATGCTCATATTGCCCAGGAAAATATATGGCTTAGATATTGTTGGTGAAATTCCTAAAGAACTGTTTGTGCTTAAAGAAATGATGGACTTGTAAGCCATCCTTCTTTTTTATGGTTTTTAGTTTTCTTTTTGGATGGTGAGATTTCTGAATTCGTTTGAATTTGTTTTAGGAATTTGGCTCAGAATGTATTGAATGGCTCTGTCCCACCTGAAATCGGGCAGTTAACAAAGATGAAATGGCTGTATATATAATTCTTTCTTAACATTTGATTTGATATTAGTTTTTCTATATGGATATAAATTTTAAAGAACCAATTTTCATGTTTTCTTGGTTATCAGGAGTTTCGGCACTAACAATCTCACTGGTCCAATTCCTCCCGAGATAGGAAATCTCAGTATTTTGATTACTTTGTAAGTAATATTGTCTTAAAGAGATTGATCTATTACTCTGTATAAATTGCGGTTTTCACATTCAATTCTCCAGAAGTTTTGCCACAAACAATATGAATGGACCCTTGCCACCGGAACTAGGAAACTTAACGACCTTGGAAGAGATGTAAGAGCAACTCTTCCTTCAGTACCATTCGATTTTATTTAATCTTTCCGGTTAAGTTGACGCGTTTTATGATTACTCAGGTATATTGATAGCAACAGACTGACTGGACCGATCCCCGAAGAGCTTTCGAAATTGAAAAATCTCAGGGTTTTGTAAGCACTATAGTGTAACCTGTTATCCTTTAAACATGATTAGATCTCATTTCCCCGTTTTGGAGAAATTAATATGGAATGTATGTCCTGTTTCAGATGGGCGTCTTCTAATAATTTTACGGGAAAGCTTCCTGAATTCCTTGGAAGCCTGACAGATCTCGCAGTCCTGTATGCTTAAACTCTGTGTTTTATCTTTCTGAAATTAACTTCCTGGTGTTTTATGCGTGACATTTATATATTCGATCAACACTTCTAACTATTATATTGTTCTCCGATCCTTTCTTGATTTTCATTTTAAGTAATGTCCTAATTAACAAAATTTCGATGTGCCATTGTTAACAACAGGAGACTGGAGGGAACGCTTCTTGAAGGCCCAATCCCGAAAAGCTATGGTGCACTAATGAAGCTAGATGATTTGTAAGGAATATCGTTTTTAGTATCAAACAAACAAAATGTTGAATATTTTCCTTTCTTTTTTCATGTTAGTTTCGTAATTACCAATATTTTGCCCCATAATTGCTCTCCGTTTGTCTCTTTTCTTCGTTCTTTTTTTCGCAGGAGAATTGGCGATATCAATAATGCAGATTCTTCTCTGAATTTCATTGAGAATGTGTCCAGTATTTCTATATTGTATGACCTTTAATCATTTGACGACGATTATTTTCTTGTCAAATCCGTTTCTAGTTCTATTTATGGTAGTCGATAGCTAACGCACTAAATGAATTTTACGTCTTTTTCACATGTAGATCATTAAGAAATTGCCGGATAGCTGGCCAACTTCCAGAATGGTTTAGTAAATTCTCTAATTTGAAAATCTTGTAAGCTTCTTTCCAAACCGTCATTTTCTTTGTTGGTTTTAATCCATTTTATTCATATATTATAGTAAGAATGTAAATGGTTCTATTCTGAGTTCTTTCTTTTGTTGAAGGGACTTGAGCTTCAATAAGTTGACGGGTGAAATACCAAACTCATATAAAGACTTTGACTCGTTAGAGTACTTGTAAGATCTCTTCTCTCTGACTTCACAAAATAATGTTACTTGCAGAGGAAATTAAAGACATCGCTATTTTTTATATTTACGGATAAATATGAATCATGTGCATCATAGGTACCTTGGAAGCAATAACTTGAGCGGGGAGCTACCCGCAAACATCATAACTGACACGCTTTTCTTGTATGTCCTGTCTGGATTTAGCCAAGAATTTACATTTGTATATATATATTTTTGAGCTTTTCTTCTGTTGTGTGGTTGAAACCGAGGATTTTAACGAGAAAACAGTGCTAAAGTTGTACCTTGTTGCCTTTTTCTATTGACCGAAGTGCTAAAGTTGTACCTTGTTGCCTTTTTCTATTGATCGGTTCTTGCCTCAGAGATATCTCGTTCAATCAAATCTCTGGAACTATACCTGCCAATAAGTCATATATTTCACTGTGAGCCTACTCCTACGACCCTCAACTTTCTAGAATTTTATGGATCGAGATGCCTCCATATATTAAACATATATTTTTTTCTTTTTTTTCAGAAATGCTGTTGGCACTTTGATCACTAGCGAAAAAGGGTCACGTCCGCGCAGGTTAGTGACAGCAATTCATAGCTTAATTGGGTATTTGGTTTATTTTGTTTTAGTGCGCTTTTGTTGATGGAATATGCAATCTGAGCAGATCATTAAATGTTTAAACGTGGATAATAGATTATGACTTCTTGTTGAGCATATAACTATTAATGTGCAATCCAACTATCAGCTTAGACTTTTAGTTGAGATGGAGCACATGTTTCAATTCTTCTTACCTTTCTATGCAAAACTTTGATGATAGCGTTTTCTTGACGAAAAATTCGGTGTGCACTAAGAAAGCTTCAAGTAAGTATACACTAAAATTTTGCATCAAGAAAGAGACGATCGAACTAGTGGATGATTGCTTAACGGAACCATTTTGTCCATTGCAGCTTCACTTTCGATTAAATGTGGTGGAAATCAAATAGTAACTGTGGATGGGATTCAGTTTGATGATGACTCAGAGATGCTCGGCCCAGCCTCGTTCTACATGAGCTCGAACAAGCAGTGGGCAGTGAGCAGTTCTGGAATATTCATTAACAACCCGAATGGACAGAACTATACAGCTCATTCGTTTTCTCAGATCCCGAACACTTTAGACTCTGAACTCTACAAAACAGCCCGGATATCCCCGAGCTCATTGAGGTATTATGGTGTTGGGTTAAAGAAAGGCATATACCGAGTCGAGCTTCATTTTGCTGAGATACAAATGGATGATATTAAGGACTCTTGGAAAGGCCTTGGGAGGCGCTATTTCGACGTTTCCATTCAGGTATGGCAAACTATGAAGTAATAGTAGTAGTATAGTAGTAATAGTTTTTTGTTAGACCACGAGGTGTCCTGAGCAGACCCTAACTGTAGAAGGCACCTTTAAGCCCATACCACACTCAGACTAGTCTCCATTCGCACCGGGCCGGCCCAATTAAGTGGCAAAGTGCTGACCAGATTGGTTTTTCCTTACGAGAGGGGGTTCAAACTCCTGACCTCTCTTAAGGGACAAAACTGCACAGCCACTCACGCCAACCAAGCTGGTTAGTACAGTAGTAGTAGTTAGTAACATTTGGTGCATGCTTCTAGCTGTTTGGTATCCATTATCCAATGCTCATATATATGATCTGCTGAAGGGTGAAAGAGTTCTTCGAGATTTCAACGTTAAACAAGAGGCCGGGGGATCTAAGCGGGCACTAGTGAAGAAGTTCAAGGCGAACGTGACAAACAACGTGTTGGACATTCACTTTTTCTGGGCTGGGAAGGGCACCTGCTGCATTCCAGTCCAAAGCACATTTGGCCCTATAGTTTCAGCCATCCATGTTGTTCAAGGTTCTTGAAACCGCGCCTCTTTCGATAAATAGATGCTCGGATTCACTATTCACTACCTGAATGTGCGCTTTAACTCAATTTTGCAGAGGTCAATTTAGATGATTCTTCAGACGGTAGTGACAAGAAACGCGTCGGAAAGATTATTGGAATCACGCTTGGATCTGCAGCAGGAGTGCTCATAATTTGTTCCATTTTCTATGTGTGGTGGACAAAGAAAAAATCTCCAACCTACAAGGGATTCTAACTTGATTCAACAACAAAACTTCCTTCTTCTTCCAAATACTGCCTACTGAACCAGTGAGCTAAGCTCGTGTCCGCACCTTCTTCCTAAGCCTATATATGTAACCTCTCTCAGATCTTTAATTAATTAGGCCATGAATTGAAAGACCCTTACTCTTCTTTCTATCATAATGTATATTAATTGCATATAAATTAGCCAATAAGTGTGTAAGCTGTAACTGTATTTGGAGTTTGGATTTGTAGTCAAACTTGTCCTATGCTCGTGGCTATGTTTGGCAACCATAGCTGAAAAGTTGGTTGATAGATGAAAATGGCTTGCTTAGCAATCATAACTGAAAAGCTGGTTGATAGTTGAAAATTAAAAAATTGTAAGTTAGAAACTAAAAGTTGAGAGCCAATAAGCTAGCTAGCTTATCAGATTGTGGTTAATATCTAATGTAAATCTAAAAACATAATAAAGCTAAATCCAAGTTATGTCCTTAATTTATGTTCATTTTTTGTATGTTAATAAAAGTATATATTTTACTTTAAATGTTATACATTTCAATTTTATTGGACAAAATTGTCCCTACTAAACTAACCATTTAAATCATAATTTTTAATTATTTATATTTATTAATTTTTTTAATATTGGACATGAATTTTCAGTCATCAAACGCATACAAAATGCTAGTTAAGTTGATAAATGCGAAAGACAAAAATGGACATTATTATAGACTTTATATGTATTCAAATTTAAATAGGTATACATATTGCAGTTTAATATTTTAACATAAAATATAGTATAATTGTTAAGTTCTAACAAATATAATTATAAAAAGAAAAAAAAAAGATACTCCCACATGGAAGGTTGTGGGTTAGAGCCTCAATGGATGCGCTATTTACTCTCTGTGCTTCAGTAGATTGAAAAAATAGTTATGAACAGATACTGCATTGTAATAGAGTTAATAGTATTCAAAAAACAATGGCAAAAACTTGTGTGAACCCGTGAGAAGGTTTGGAGCTTTGATTGATGAGGTCAAAGATCCAAACCATTAATCAAAGATTTGACACATTAATGGGGTCGGATCTTTTAGCTTCAACTTCTCTGGAAATTCACATCACTATTTATAATTGCAGTATAACACTTAAAAATTGAAAAATGTTGTTGCAGAAGATCTCATTGAATCGTGGAGAGACATTAAATTAATCTTGCCTGATGATTCTTCTGATATCTAACCAATTCTATTTGAATAAAACTCCAACAGCTTGTTTGACCTCAGGAATAATTAATCTAATGGAGCTCATATTGTAGTCCAAACATGATTGTATTCTTTACTTCCAAGAAGAACAAATAGGCTTCACTGTCCTATTTCATTATGCATTATTTAATAGCTTTTCATTTATGCAGTTGATAGTACTAATTCCCGGATGTCGGTTGCATGTACTAGATGTATATATGTGATGTATGAATGTAAGAACAATATAGTAGTGGACAAGAAGATATGGAAGAAGGGGTATTTTATTCATGTTGTGTTCTTCTTCTGCATTAGAGAGAAATGGGAGGATATCTCTTAGAGAGAGAGTGTCGAGAGAATAAATGGAGTCCCACCCCTTACTTAGAGGGCTTTTAGCCCTTTTATATGCATGGTGGCGGGTTTGACTCACCACCTCTAACTTTGACCTGTGGACCGGGTTTTGATGCCGTTTGACCCCAACCAGACTATAAACGAGCCCATAGACGTACATGTGGTCGGTACCGAGGGATATATCCTATCAAGAGCTCCCCAGTCTGTGCCCTGACGATGAGCTAACGAGGAAGGGTTCGGGCTGGAAAAACTAGTTACACGGTCTGTGACATGCACCGGTTGCCTCGTTAAAAACCTTAAGCTGATAAAAAATTCAGTGGGAAAAAATTCAGCCCAGGAAAAAAGAGCACAACTTTAAGCGCAGTCTAGTGGACCAAAAGGGAGCGCCCGACCTAGTAGTCGGACTTGCAACGCAATTTGCGAGATCACACGTGGGAATGCTCTTCCCAATGCCCTTTACTCGGGCTAACTGATTGCGACTGGTTCGAGCTCGGTCGAATGAAAAGATCTCTCTTAACTGTTTGCGATTGGCTAGCTTCTGGTGACTGTATTTAGTCACTACGATATGTTTTTGAGGACCAAAAATTTAGACTGATCGGGGTGCACTCGGTTTATGAACCAAGGGTCCCAAGCGAAGGGATACCACGAGGCCTGAAGGTCCAACGATAGTGAGATGCGTTTTGACAACGATAATTAGCTGAATGGGGAGTGTGTTCCCTTTTATGCTCAGTTTATGAACCAAGAGCCCCCAAGCGAAGGGGTCGCTAAGAGACCCGATGGTCTAACGATCATGAGACTAGGAAAGTCTTTTTGATCGAGAAATGACGACGAGAGCGGGAAAGTCGGTCAACTTAAGAAGCGCTTCGGTAAACGAGCTAAGTCGGTCTACTTGGGAAGTGCTTTTGGTGAAATGAACGAGATTTGAACGATGAACGAGCCAAGCGCTTTGGTGAAACGAATGCAATTCGGCCGATGAACGATTCGGTCTATTCGAACGACGAGCGAGCTAAACGCTTTGGTGAAACGAACGTGATTCGATCAATCCACTCGGTTTATGAACCGAGGGTCCCAAGCGAAGGGATACCACGAGGCCTGAAGGTCCAACGATAGCGAGATGCGTTTTGACAACGATAATTAGCTGAATGGGGAGTGTGTTCCCTTTTATGCTTAGTTTATGAACCAAGAGCCCCCAAGCGAAGGGGTCGCTAAGAGACCCGATGGTCTAACGATCATGAGACTAGGAAAGTCTTTTTGATCGAGAAATGACGACGAGAGCGGGAAAGTCGGTCAACTTAAGAAGCGCTTCGGTAAACGAGCTAAGTCGGTCTACTCGGGAAGTGCTTTTGGTGAAATGAACGAGATTTGAACGATGAACGAGCCAAGCGCTTTGGTGAAACGAACGCAATTCGACCGATGAACGATTCGGTCTATTCGAACGACGAGCGAGCTAAACGCTTTGGTGAAACGAACGTGATTCGATCAATCCACTCGGTTTATGAACCGAGGGTCCCAAGCGAAGGGATACCACGAGGCCTGAAGGTCCAACGATAGCGAGATGCGTTTTGACAACGATAATTAGCTGAATGGGGAGTGTGTTCCCTTTTATGCTCAGTTTATGAACCAAGAGCCCCCAAGCGAAGGGGTCGCTAAGAGACCCGAGGGTTTAACGATCATGAGACTAGGAAAGTCTTTTTGATCGAGAAATGACGACGAGAGCGGGAAAGTCGGTCAACTTAAGAAGCGCTTCGGTAAACGAGTTAAGTCGGTCTACTCGGGAAGTGCTTTTGGTGAAACGAACGAGATTCGAACAATGAGCGAGCCAAGCGCTTTGGTGAAATGAACGCGATTCGACCGATGAACGATTCGGTCTATTCGAACGCTGAGCGAGCTAAGCGCTTTGGTGAAACGAACGCGATTCGATCAATCCACTCGGGAAAACTAAGAAGTGAAAGAGCGAGGTACGAACGAGCTACTCTACCGATGCGGCAGCCCCCCCCCCCCCCCCAACTCCCTTAGGTGCGAGAATCGTCAACATAAGGGAGTAGATATGATAGGTTCTCTAGTATGTCTTGCTAACTTTGATTGCGATCGGGAGATGACCCGACCGGGACCGTAGTGCGAGTGCACCAGGCTACACCCACAACATCGATGACCGGGAAATGACTCGACCGAGCTTGAAGTATCGGTACACTACCGATCGACTTGCCTAATTTATAGGATTTTCGAAATTTTACGAATTTTAAACCAACCGATCGATTGATCGGACCTCTAGCGGGGTAGAGGTTTTACGCGTTACCGATCAAGTGATCGGGGTTTTTAAACACGACCAAGCGATTAAAGGATGGGATGCCCGACCGCACGGGCTCAACTGCCTACCTTGTAGGTCTTAACGCCGAGATACGATCTCAGGCTAACTGGGCCGGTGGTGGCAATGCCAACCTAACCGGTCTAAGAAATGCCTACCTCGTAGGACTTTAAAGAAGAGATACGATCTCGGTGCTAACTGGACAGGTGGTGGCAATGTCGACCTAACCGGACTTAGAGCGCCTGTGGCGGCGAAGCCAACCTAACTGGTCTTTGAAACGCCGGTGGTGGCAAGGCCAACCTACTTGGTCTTAGAACGCCAATGGCGGCGAAGCCAACCTAACTGGTCTTTGAAACACCAGTGGTGGCAAGGCCAACCTAACCAGTTAAAAAGATGCCTAACTTGTAGGGTTTGAAACCGAGATGGGATCTCGAACTGACCAAGCCGGTGGTGGCCATGCCGACCTAACCGGATTTGGAAACATAATTGAAATTGAAGCTAAAGGAACCTCGTCAGCTTCGATCTTGGTACGATAAAAGTTTAAGCGACATTACTGGTCGTTGAGCTATCACCCTCACCTGTGTTACCGGACAAGTTTAAGCGACATTGTGGTCGTCGGGCTGTCGCCCTCATCGGTTGGGACTGGAAAAATTCTCACTGCCGTTACCAGACAAGTTTAAGCGACATTATGGTCGTCGGGCTTTCGCTCTCATCGGTTGGGGCCAGACAAGTTTAAGCGGCATTGTGGTCGTCGGGCTATCGCCCTAATCGGTTGGGGCTGGAAAAATTCTCACCGGTGTTACCGGACAAGTTTAAGCGGCATTGTGGTCGTCGAGCTGTCGCCCTCATCGACTAGTGACCGGAAAAAGCTGAAAAAGTTTAACGACATTGCGGTCGTAAACCGGAGGTGGCGTGACCGACTTGACCGAGCTTAGAGTGCCGGTGGTGAAAATACCAACCTAATAAGGCTTATTACAATTAACTCCTATTACAATTTGTAACTTACACAATTTGCAATCTAGCCTATATAATTTTCTAAAACTACTCTAAATATATAGAATTTAGAATTGGACCTACGCATTATACAATTTGGGAATTACAAAGTGTGACAAAATTCCACACTGCAATTTACTATGCTACACATCTACATGTGTCAATTCAGTAATTCCACTTGCTTGGTTTCCGCATCACCGCCATATGCAACCAATAGCAACAAGATTTGCTACTTTTATTATTATTTCACTTTTTCCTTTTGCTTTCCTTGTTAAGACTTAGTCTAGGCCTGATATATTAATTTCATTATATTTATTTTTATCTTGTGGCTTAGTTTTTATCTTGTGGTTTAGCTTTTACCTGCTCCCTATTTCTTTGCTCTGTAAAGCTTATTTAAAGCTTGTTCCCGTTTA